TTGAAATGTGTTTTTTATATATTACAAAATATTTGAAAAATATTTTTTAAAAATATATATATTTTTAAATATATCCTTCAGATTTTTTTTAACATATAAAAAAAGTTTTTTTTACATATAAAAAAGTAATTTTAACATATACTTTTACATATATTTGTAAATGCATTCCAAAAATGTAGATGAAATGTATTTTAAAAGACATACAGTATATTTTAAAATGTATTTGTAAAAATATTTTTCATATATTTCGTAATATATAAAAAACACATTTCAACATAGTTATATAGCGCCATCAATTTACTCAGCACTTTACATATATATTGTACATTCACATCAGTCCCTAACCCTCAAGGGGCGTACAATCTAAGGTATATATATATATTTGTAGTAATTCAAATATATGTCAATATATTTGGGAATAATATTTTTGAAATATATTTAAAATATAGTTTTCTTCCATGCGGGAACGTGGTAAAATGCACAAAAAAATGGGCTGGAATGAATCCAAAATGCCCAGTAAGGGCATGCTGTGACGGGAGTGACTTTTGGGGGTGGGGGGGACCTCTGTATCATCTTCCCAAATTCCCATTATGTTTAAGGCACCCTGTGCCTGTTAAGGGTTACAGGTGTGTGTATGTGAATGTCTGAGTCTTGTGTATAGTGTGTGTTCCTTTGTCTAGCCACATGGCTGTCCATTGTCTGTTTGCCATGTGCTACTCCCCATTGTGCTGTGTCTTCCTGTCCAGCCAACTATTATGGGATGTACTGTTTGTGTATTGGTGTGGGGGTTGGTCAATGTCCTTTGCCACATGGCTGCATCCCATTGTATTGTGTCTTGGTTGGATGGGGAGGGGTGATGAGGTGTTTCCTGCCTATACTGTAGCCCTTCCCACTGATAGGGTGGGCTGATGATGTGTTTCCTGTCCCTGGTTGTCTTTCCCCGCCCTCTGTGTAAAACATGTTGTTTGTGTACAATAAAAGAGTTGGCTTTCTGTTTTAACAAAAAAAAACCGAAGCCTCAAAAACACGTTCAAAACACACATGCAGTACGGATGAGAAGTGCATTTTTGTGGTGTGAACTGGCCCTAAAGGGGGCCCTTAAATGTAGCCTCTGACACCATCAAAGGGTGGCCCATAATAATCAATTCATGTAATGCTGGAGAGGACTGTCAGAAACTTCAGACCTTATAGAAAAAATAAGAGTCAGAGAGTATGGACAGGATACATTTGTGGCTGGGAATGGCTGCAGAAGCTGAAACTGGGAACATGGTATATGGGGCCAATAGAGATCAATCCTATTACCCTAATCAATGTTCCCACGACAGACTGCTGGGGCCCAAGGGCCACAAGTTGGACACCAGGGTTACCAGCTTCCACGTTGTCTGCAGTGATTTATACGATGTCTACCAGGGATGGCAGTGCTCTATGCCCCCCAGCTCCAGAGTGCCTCCAGCAGTTGTATCTAGCTCCAGAATCCCAGCAAACCCTCAGCTCCAGAAACTTCTGATCCAAAACTGATTCAGAGCAACTTAGTTCAGCTACAGCCAACGAACAATTCCATTTTCTTCAAACTTTTAGGAAATGAAAAAAAAAATTGTACAGGTGCCCCAGCAACACTTTGAGGAGCCCCCATGTCAGGTCCCCAACTCATACATTCAAACATACACATACTGGGGCCAATTCAGCCAGAAGTCAACTAATCTACCAGACAATCTTTGGAATGTGGGAGGAAACTTACACAAGCAGAACGAGCAAACTCCATGCAGGTAGTGTTAAAGGAATTTGAACTGTTGTCTATGGCGCTACCAGGCAGAAGTGCTAACCACTACATCACTGCGCCGCCCGGAGTTCTGTAACAAAAATATTTTAGAATGTTACTGTAAAATGATTTATGAAAAAAAATTACAAAATATTTTCCCCCTATGTTTTTATAAGAACACAACATCATGGGTAACTATAGAAAAGAGGGCATGAATCCCTAGAGAAGCCAAAGAGGAAGGGACTACTAAGGCGCATACTGTATATCTCCAACTGAGTCGATCAAAGAATATGCAGACATGTACTTGTTCTTAAAGCAAAACTTTGCTGCATCTGAGAACCACAAACCAGAAACGCTGTTTAATGAATTTTTAATATTCAAACTCCCCCATGTCTCCATGCTTTAATTTACATGTTGAAAAACACCCCCTAGTGTTTCTGGTTGTGGCCATCTTAAGGGCAGAAGATTCATGTAGCAATTACTTCATGAAATATACTTTAGATGTCAACAAGGTCTATACTAGGGGTCTCCAAACTGCGGCCCCTGGGCCGAATATGGCCCTTTTCTATGCTTGGGGCATTGTTCTTCCCACTGATAGAAGGCACTATTCCTCCCACTGACATCAACAATGAGATACCATTCCTCCTATGGACACCAAGGATGGGGCACCATTCCTTCCACTGATACCATGATGATGCACTATTCCTCCTACTGACACCAACAATGAGGAACCATTCCTCCCATGGACACCAAGGATGGGGCACCATTACTTCCACTGACACCAATGATGGGGCATTTTTCTTTTCACTGAACAATGGAGCACTATTCCTCCCACTGAAATCAAGGATGGGACACCATTCCTTCCACTGACACAAATTATTTTTATTATTATTATAACAGATTTATATAGCACCAACAGTTTGCGCAACGCTTTACAAAATGAAGGCAGACATTACATTTACAATATAATTTGGTACAAGAGCTTACAATCTAGGAGAGGGCACTATTCCTCCCAATGACATCAACGATTGGGGCATTAGTCTTCCTACCGAAATCAATGATAGGGCAGCATTTTTCCCACTGAAACCAATGATGGGGTATGTTTCCTTGCACTGACACTAATGATAGGGCAGTATTCCTTCCACTGACACCAATGATGGGGTATGTTTCCTTCCACTGACACCAATGATGGGGTATGATTCCTTCACACTGACACTAATGATAGAGCAGTATTCCTCCCAATGACACCAATGATGGGGCATTGATCCCCCCACCAACACCAATGATGGGGCACCAATCCTCCTACAGACCACAGGCATTATGTAATTTTTTTTTTTTATTCCAACTGACCACCAAGCCTGAGACACTTTCTACTGCCAAAGACACTGGGGAAGTTTCTACTTCCACTGGCCACAGTCCAGCCCTTCTAAAGTCTGAGGGACAGTAAAACCGCCCTTTGTTTAGAAAGTTTGGAGACCCCCCCAGTCAGGGGCGGACTGACAACTCATGGGGCCCCCGGACAACAGGGGATCATGGGGTCCTTGACCAAACTCAAAAAAGCCTATGAAAAAGGTACCAGGGGCATCTCATGGGACCAGGGGCATCTCATGGGACCCCCTACTGACCCCAGGCCCTCAGGCAGTGCCCGAGTTTCCAAATGGTCAGTCCGCCCCTGCCCCCAGTCAGAGGTTTCCCTAGGGTAGGTGTCACCCAGTGCAGTAACACTTGGTGACACTCCCTCCGACGATCCCCGCAGAATGGATTGGATCTGTGGATTGAGCATAATGGATCAGACTCCGATCCATTATGTTCAATCCGCAGATCCGATGCATCCTGCGGGATCGTCGGCTTTCTTTACAACTTACCTTTTCTTGGAGCGGGTCCGTTGTCACCCCGTGCGGTCGGTGTCACCGTGTGGCACCCCCCGCACCTGCCTCAGGACGCCACTCCCCCCGGTCTATACAATGCAGAAGGATACATCCCCCTCTCCATACTTCTACAGAAATTAGTTATGATAAAAAAAAATCTAAGAAACCACCAGCAGGTGTCGCTCTCAACTAAACATTTGTATCATTAGGAAACATGTTCAAAAGTTTTTTATCCAATCAGTAGTATGTGGAGGGATGACAAGGACCACTATAACCACATCAATGTCTTGAAAGAAGATTGATTCACTCTGTATACAGATCACTATGGATATGTTCACAAAGGCTGTCCAAGTAATAAAGGAGACACACCAGAGAACTGACTTTCAAAATTGTATAAAAAAAAAAAAAAATCCATTTACCTAAATTTTATTTCCGTTCACGCTAAGAGTTGCAAATGGCAGCCATAAGTAGAAACGCCACCCTCATATATATAAATATATATATATAGATCTCCCACCAACAGTGAGTCACGCCTGGTATTTGCCAGTTTGTGATGTCACTTCGGAGTCATGACACCTTGTATGTGTATTGGGAGGTCTGGAAGATATCACAGATATTTTATTCATCCAGTATATATGTTAGTGCCCGGTTGTTATCAGGGAAAAAAAAAACACAGGACAGTCAAAACGCACACTTATCGCTTGAAGTATAGTTTCTTCCCCTGGAGCTGTATTGTCTGTATATAAACCCATGAGGTGCAGAGTTTTAGGAATTTCATGTGAAATTTTAACTTTTTAAAAAAATGTTTTATATTTTTTGCTATATTTAGGGATGGACGGATATGTGGACATGTTAGAAAGTATACATATGTGGTTGCATGGCAAAATGCACCTTTGCCTGTGTAGATAAAAATCCTTGTACCGGCCCTGCATGGCTGGCTATGACACGGAAATAGCTGGTGTGGAAGGATTCGTCCATTCATGCTGTACAGTGTTCATGGAGGAATCAGTTAGGTTTATTGAAACACAAGTATATGTCCAGCTTTACTCTGTATCAGAGTATTCAATAATCTGTTGACAATGGACAAAGTGCTTTAAGGTCCCCCTCTCCTATTGTAGGTCAGATCCCCATCCATGGTTGCAGAGAATGAGCCTCTTAATATTTTTGCAAAACTCTCAAAGTAAATGAGGTTATAAATCAAAAATTCTTCTCTGCAGGTGTGAAGACAATTAGAATCTAACAGCTCAGGACTATTTCTGTACCATCGATCCTATATCCTGCGGTATCCAACAAATATAGCTTCTATAGGGATGAGTGGTACTGCACACAGTGTGAGAAGTCCCCACATACAGGTCTAATGACCACCAAGGTGCATGGTGTGTAATCTCTCCTTCATCTCTCTGATTTTAGGCCAAGCGGAGGAAAGGCCGTTGGTGGACACAAAGTACGGGAAGCTCCTGGGGGTCAGCGTGTCAGTAAAAGAAACGTCAAGAACTGCAGATGCTTTCTATGGAATCCCCTTCGCAAAGCCTCCGGTAGGCTCATTGAGATTTGCAAATCCGGAATCAATTGAGCCCTGGGAATCCGTCCGAGACGCCTCCCAATATGCCCCCATGTAAGTGTAGTGGACTCACCAAAGGAGCCACTGGAGAAGATGATTCCTTCCCCCAAGATTAGGGCGCACACAGCCAGGAACACAGCATTCCACTGACTCAAAAAGAATAGTCTAGGAGTGTCCTTTTGATGCTTTATTGAAAATTAAACTTGGTTGGGGTGAGGGGACATTGGATACCCCAGAAAAATGCTGAACTGACTTCTTTAAGGACTCTTCTCTTCACAATGAGCTGAACAAAAGTCCCACACGACTCTCTACCGGCTGAAAGGTTCCTATGACCTCCTTTAAAGAACTGAGAACTGCACACAGTCACTAAGGTACAGCATGTAGGACACTTACTCATAATGCCACAGGGACATCACCTGCCCCCTACTGGCATAAACCAGGCAGTCTTCAGTGAGGGAGATACAGACTCATGATACCACAGGACAGCTGGATACTCTTCCCCTAACTTCCACCAGGTACTCTTCAGTGCGCTCTCCAGAACCAGAAACTCCCAGACCAGACTTTGAGAATAGGCCCCCCTAGGTTAAGCTCCAGCTGGGACCTCAATGACTTCCAAGCAGCTCCTCCAGCAGCCTGCCCTTAGAGGCAGAGCCCCTAGATAGGGGACTCCTCTTGCAGGACTGGATCCAGGATCTAACAACCCTGCTCCAGGCCCCACACTATTTATGGGTTCTCCAGCAGCCTACTGGTCTTGCCTCCCCAGGGATTGGCTGGATCTCCTTTAATATTCAAGATGTACCTTCTATTCTTCCTCCCACTATAATTCTAGATTCTTCAAGAATGCAGGGGGAAGCAATCAGAGCAGCAGGCTAGAACTATCAACCCCCGATCCACTGACTACAAAGGAGCCAACTAAATTTGCCTAGGAACCCACACTAACTAGGAGGGTGCTACATTCACCGTCTGCAAAAAAACCCAAAACCCTGCCTCTTGGGCTGAAGCAGGGGTGGGCTGACAACTCATGGGGCTCCTGTGTCCTCGCCTACACTCAAACCACACCCAAAAAAACCTACGAAAGGTACCAGTGGCATCTCATGGGGCCCCCTACTGACCCTGGGCCCTCGGGCAGTGCCCAAGTTCCCAAATGGTCAGTCTGCCCCTGGGCTGAAGTGCAAAAACAGGTCTTGAACCAAGAGCGAGGGTATCACACAATAATAGGGAGGGGAAAAGGTAATGGACAAAGTAACAAAGTCATGTGGCATTTACTCTACATGGTAAACAAAGTAGCATTTTAAAACAACAGCATACATTTTAAATATAAACTATGAGTGCAAACTTTATACAATAAAGTGGATGACTGGCACCAAGTTATATTAGGCCTGGCCCAGATATCCAGATTTTCATGACATATTTACATGAATATCTACAGCCTAGCTGTGTAGAGCCCTGCCGCTATCTATACGCAAAATGTTAGTGCATCGGAAACCAAGTCATAGTGCAAAACTTCAATGTTGTACCCCTGCAAGAGAACAGAGTTATTAGGGCATTGAACTCTACATTAGCAAGTTGGAGCACTATCTCCTAGAAGATAACCCTCCAACAAATCAACAATATATTTTATTCCGACATCACAATGTCTGAAAGTCCATAAACCTTGTTCTGTAACTAAGTTGCCAACTAGTGTCCAAATGGCTGAAGTGCCCCATTAATCGACGTAATCAAAATTGGTTTTGACCAGGGGCGGATTGACAACTCATGGGGCCCCCGGGCAAAAGGGGATCATGGGGCCCCTGTGTCCTTGCCCAAAACTCAAAAAAGCCTATGAAAAAGGTACCAGGGGCATCTCATGGGGCCCCCTACTGACCCTGGGCCCTCGGGCAGCGCCTGAGTTTCCAAATAGTCAGTCCGCCCTGGTTTTGACACGTTGTCCTCTACCAGGCCCCTGGAATAAAACAGAAAGACATATCCTAGCTACTCTACAAAAAATCTACACTATCACAGCGTGTGTGTATGTGTATTCTAATGCAGGAAACTCAGAAGGCTAAGGCTTCCATGAGAAGGAAGGCATTTCTGAATTTCTGACTCTTAGACCAGAAACCAGTGACACCAATTAAGGAGGAGGAGGGAAAGTCGAGAACCCCTGTGAGGTTTTGATTTCTGTCCCTGTTTTAGATTTGCCCTCTTTGGACAAACTTACTAGACTGCAATTTTTATATACATCAAAGAAAATGGAAAATGGTCATTTAAAGGGGTGCCTTTACTGTGTTTCTTGTGTGTAGGGTAGACCATTGAAATGAATGGGCTGCCCTATACATGAGGTGTAGGATTGAACTGAAAATGCATGGAAATGCGTAGATCCTCAGTCACACCTGTAGGTTTGAACCCAGACTGAAGCTAGGTTCACATCTGTGCGGGTGGTGCCTCTTCGGATCCGCACGAAAATCTGTGCAGCTGCACCACCCACACAGAGGAATGCGGACCCGCGGGCGGGTGCCTTTAGTTCTAATGGCACGCCGCCCGCACTGGAAACTGCAACCGTACTGGGAACCGAGGTTCCCGTGCAGACTGCGTTTTCCTAAGAAGTGCAGGGACGTCTTCCCTGTGTGTCACGGGCACAGGAGTCCATTCAAATGAATGGGTTCACGTGCCCGTGCAAAACGCAGCTCGCACAGCCGCATATATGTGAACCGGGGGTTAGTCTCCATGCACACGGGGCATTTTGATAACGTGGTAATGTTAGCTGTGTAAAGTCACGTTAAAAACCTGAGTTTTTTAGCTTTTTTTAGCGTTTTTGCATTAGCGTTTAGTGGCGTGTTTCCGAGATTACTGGCGTTTTCCCACGTTTGCGGTTTTTAGCTTTTACCTTTTTTTTTTACCAAAACCAAAAAAAAAATTTTTTTTGGTAAAAACAAATCCAAAACCACTAGTTTGCAGCCTTTTACCGCATTTTGCCGCATTTCAGTGTTAGAATGTTTTTACAGCTAAAAAAAACTATAAACCCACTAGTCCTGGGTTTTTTTTTTTTTTCCAGCCAAAAAACGTTGATTCCAATCTATGTGTGTATGGACACATAGGATAACATGCTGGGGGGTTTACTGGATGTAGAAAAAAATGTCAAAAGGCAAAAACAGCCGCTGTAAAAACGTCCCGTGTGCATGAAGACTAATGCAGGCCATAGACGGTTCGTTTATCAGATGAATTTTTGTCCGAAAGAATAATCGTCTGATATTCGCACTGTTAGTGGGGCAATGTCGTTGGCCGATTTTTTGCGGTTCCTCATTTCTTTTATTGGTCATGCTGGAAAATTTACGAAAAATGGGCAATTTTTGTAAGCATTGGTGGCAACAGAACGACCGATTTTTCAGACGATAAACGAACCGTCTATGGCCTGCATTAGCCCTCATGCACACGGGACGTTATGATAACTCTGGTAACGTTAGCTGTGTAAAGTTATGTTAAAAAACCTGAGTTTTTTTTTGATTTTTTTAGCAAAAAAATATTTTTGTTTGCTCAAAAAAAGTCCAAAACACCGGTTTGCGGCGTTTTTAACCACATTTTGCCATGTTTTTCAGCATTATAGCGTTTTTACAGCTGAAAAACTCCTCTACAAGTCCACTCGTTTTGGGGTTTTTTTCCGGCCAAAAAACGTTGATTCCAGTCTATGTGTGTATGGACACATAGGATAACATGCTGGGGGGTTTACTGGCTGTAGAAAACAGAAACGTCAAAAGTGAACAAACAGCTGCTGTAAAAATGTCCCGTGTGCATGAGGACTATTTATTTATTTATTTCAGGTACTTATATAGCACCGTCAATGTACGCAGCACTTTACATATATATTGTACATTCACATCAGTCCCTAACCCTCAAGGGGCGTACAATCTAAGGCCCCTAACCTACATTCATACATACTAGGGCCAATTTGGACAGGAATCAATTCACCTACCAGCATGTCTTTGGAGTGTGGGAGAAAACCAGAGCAGCCAGAAGAAACCCACGCAAGCACAGGGAAAGGAGGCAAACTCCATGCAGGAGGTGCCATGGTCAGGAATCGACCCCATGACCCATTTACTGCAAGGCAGACGTGCTAACCATTAAGCCACTGTGCTGCCCATGTATGGACTATAGTCCCTCTCCCTTTTTCTTTGGTGTAAATCCTGCCACCAGGACGTGGCGCACTCTATCACAGCAGCCAACCCTCCAATCAGTGATGGAACGTTATATAATGGTTAAAGCGCATTTTGTTTTGTGGACCTCAAAAGCAGCAGGACACTGAAGGAGTGTATGGATTTTATTGGGGTTTTCTTTGCCTTTCAGGTGTTTGCAGGACATGGGAATTATGGAAGGTTTGATCAACTACTACAAAACGTCATTTAAGATCCCGCCGTTTTCAGAGGATTGCCTGTATCTGAATATCTATACTCCAAGCAACAGAGAAAAGGAATCAAAGTTACCTGTAAGGAACACGACAAAATGGGAGACCGCTGGTGACAGATTTGTAACTCTTGACTCAACGTTCTGCTATACAACTGGAAAATTTAACAAAACGGCTGATTTTCCACAGCTCGTTTCTCAGAAATGGTTACATGAAAGGTTTCTACATTGGGGTTGATTTCCCAAAAGCAAATAGACAGAGTACTTTGCAAGTGCAGGTGTTCCAGAGCTTAGTTAACCCCGGTTCACATATATGCGGCTGTGCGGGCCACGTTTTGCACGGGCACGAAAGCCCATTCATTTGAATGGACTCCCATGCCCCGGGACATGCAGGGAAGAAGTCCCTGCACTTCTTTGGAAACCGCAGCCCGCACGGGTACCTCGGTTTCCAGTGCGGTTGTGATTTTCAGTGCAGGCGGCGTGCCATTATAATTAATGGCACCCACCCGCGGGTCCGCATTCTTCTGTGTGGGTGCTGCGGTTGCACGGATTTTTTTGTGGGTCCGCAGCGGCACCACCCCCACAGATGTGAACCTTGCCTAAATGAGCAGAAGCTCTGATGACTTCCACCATCTGATCCTGAGCAAGCAAAAATGCTATTTTTTTACATTTTCCTTGCATGTGATTGGGTAACTTCTGCGAAGTGAAGCTTTACCTCATTGGCTAAGCTCTGGAGCAGCTGCACTTGCAAAGTGCCCAGTCTATTTGCCTTTAGTAAATCCACTCCATTGCCCTAGTGATCTCCTTCTAAGCTCTGCTCTTCTGTTTGTAGGTCATGGTCTTCATACATGGGGGCGGGCTGGTAATAGGCGGAGCCTATTATGACGGGTCAGCGCTCAGCGTCTATGAGAATGTGGTTGTCGTGTCCATTCAGTACCGGCTGGGAATTCTGGGATTCTTCAGGTGAATAATTTTTTCCCTTTAATTTTAAAGTGCATTGTGACTACCTTGGGACCAGGGGCGGACTGACCATTTGGAAACTCAGGCACTGCCCGAGGACCCGGGGTCAGTACAGGGCCCCATGAGATGCCCCTGGTACCTTTTTCATAGGCTTTTTTTTAGTTTGGGCAAGGACACAGGGGCCCCATGATCCCCTATTGCCCGGGGGCCCCATGAGTTGTCAGTCCGCCCCCTGCTGTACTGCGTACAGGGAGCCAGTCACATCAGTCTCTGCACCAGAGTAGCTTAAACTCTAATACCCCACCCCCCCCAAGTTGGGGGCTTAGATTGTACACCCTTGAGGATTAGGATAAAGCTGAACTCCAGGCAATACACAGGTTAAATACAAACACAGGAGCGGTTTTGACTGCCAAAAGATTTGTTAATGCAGCTCTGAAATTTACACAGCTCTGCCATGCAGCACAGCCCTTTCTACTGAAGCTGTTTTTCATGCAGTTTCACTTTCATTGACAGGTCATGTTTCTCCCCCAGTCTGTGACTGGACAGTGAAAGGAGAAGCAGCACAGTGATGAGCTCATCTCTCCTTCTATCGGCATGCAGCTTGCACTGCAGTACACCTAATCGGCTTCTTGTGCTGCTTCCCTTTCTCCCAGTCTGAGCTCTGCTGTAAAGGGACTGATGCCAGGTCACATTTATGGTTCCCACCTGCTGCGTTTTCGACAGCCCATTCATTTCAACAGGCTGCTGAATGAGGGGGAATGCACAAAAAAGAACGGCAGACACGGTTTTTAAAACCTACTGTACCGCGCGTTTTGGTGGCTGCGAATTCAGGATGCCTGGGAACAGTGGCGTCCCGAGGCAAGTGCGGGGGGTGCACACCGCACGGGGGGACACCAGACCCGCTCCTCAAAAAGGTAAGTTGTAAAACAAGCCGACGATCCGCCCGCAGGATGGATCCGATCCATCTTACGGGATCGTCGGTTTTCTTTACAACTTACCTTTTCATGGAGTGGGTCCAGTGTCACCCCATGCGGTGTGCACCCCCCGCACTTGCCTCGGGACGCCACTGTTCCCAGGCATCCTGTTTCGCAGGATGGATCAGATTGACCCCCGCAGGATGGATCAGATCTGCGGATTGGGGAGCATAATGGATCGGACTCTGATCCATTATGCTCAATCCGCAGATCTGAACTATCCCGTGGGGGTCAATCTGATCCATCCTGCGAATGCAGGATGCCTGGGAACAGTGGCGTCCCGAGGCAAGTGCGGGGGGTGCACACCGCATGGGGTAACACTGGACCCACTCCATGAAAAGGTAAGTTGTAAAGCAAGCCGACGATCCACGCAAAATGGATCGGATCTGCGGATTGGGGAGCATGATGGATCAGAGTCCGATCCATTCTGCTCAATCCGCAGATCCGATCCATTCTGCGGGGATCGTCGGAGGGGGTGTCACCAAGTGTTATCTCCCCGGGTGACACCAACCCTAGGGACGCCCCTGCCTGAAAGTGCCATTAAGAATGGCATCCATCTGCCACTGCGTTTCTGTTTGGTGCTGGAAAATGCAAACCTCTGAGTACGTTCCCACATCACAACTAGTGTGAATTGGCATTAAATGATTTAAGAGCTGCAGTAATTTGTGTCTTTATATCCGTCCGGAGTTCTACTTTAATTCAGGATCTAATTTCAATCAGTGACCGAACATTATCTGATTATTAAGGCTTCATGCACAGGTGTGCAACTCAAAAATTGTGCGGTTTCAGTTGTGACTTGGATCCAACTTTGGATGGATGCGACTTGGATGCAACTTTGGATGGTTGCGACTGGCTGTTGACTTTGGCTTTGACTTTTGCACAACTGTTATACTTATAACCAGGGGCAGACTGACAACTCATGGGGCCCCCGGGCAATAGGGGATCATGGGGCCCATGTGTCCTTGCCCAAACTCAAAAAAGCCTATGAAAAAGGTACCAGGGACATCTCATGGGGCCCCCTGCTGACCCTGGGCCCTCGGGCAGTGCCCGCATTTCCAAATGGTCAGTCCGCCCCTGCTTATAACATCAAGATGCAACTTTTGAGAGTTTACATTGCAGTCTAAGGCACTCAAGGTGCATAAAAGTCGCATCAAAGTAGCGCAGGGACCTTTTAAAGTTGCTGAAATTTTAAGTCACATAGATTTGAATGGATTCCATTGGAATACATGGGCTGCAACATGTCATGCGACTTTACAGGGTTAATTTACTAAAGCTGTACATTGCAAAAATGTGGTGCAGCTCTGCAAAGAAACCAATCAGCTTCCAGGTTTTGTTGTCAAATCTTAATTGAACAAGCTGAAGTCAGAAGCTGATTGGTTACCATGCATGACTGCACCAGATTTTGCACTCTGCAATTTTAGTAAATCTCCCCCTATGTGCCCTAAGTCGCATAACAAATGGCACAAGTGTGAATGGAACCTCAGGGTGGAGACTCTTCACTGGGGTTTCATCTGATCAGGGGCGGACTGACAACTCATGGGGCCCCTGGGAAATAGGGAATCATGGGGCCCCTGTGTCCTCGCCCACACTCAAGACACACCCAAAAGAGCCTATGAAAAAGCATATGAAAGGTACCAGGGGCATCTCATGGGGCCCCCTACTGACCCTGGGCCCTCGGGCAGTGCTCGAGAGCCTAAAAGGTCAGTCTGCCCCTGCATCTGATTTATATTGATGATCATTAATAGAAGAATTTTATTGTTTCTCCCCCCCAGTACCGGAGACAATGAGCTGCCTGGCAATCTCGGCTTCATGGACCAGGTGGCGGCCCTCCATTGGGTGCAGGAGAACATCGCTGATTTCGGGGGCGATCGGCACTCTGTCACTATATTCGGGGAGTCCGCCGGGGGAGTCAGCGTCTCAGCTATGGTAAGATCCGTCTCTGCAGAGGATGGAAGAAATTGATTTCGGCAAAAAAAAAAGCTTCCATGAAAATTCTGATTTGCCGAATTTCAATTAAGGAGAAAAATCCAAGAAGGAATCGAGGAATCGGAGAAATAAAAACTCTTCTATAGTCTCTGGTGACCAGGAACTCCAGGCAGGGTCAGTCGTTAGAGGGGGACTCCAACCTCTGCCTTGTGTTAGTTCTCATCTTCACCACTGGGGACTCTTCCAGAACTTCTATCTAGTCATCAGTATTATCTCCTTCTTTTTCAGGTGTTGTCACCCTTGGCTAAAGGATTGTTTCACAAAGCCATCGCTGAGAGCGGATTTGCCACAATGAGCAGCCTGATGGTCATGAAGCCGGAGGACCTCACCATCTACCGTGATGTAAGTCCACCATGTGTGACTGTGGAGGGCATTAGAGTGTAAGCTCCTCTGGTACAGAGGCTGGTGTGACTGGCTTAGTGTTCTCTGTACAGTGCTGCGGTATATGCCAGAGCTACAGTGAAGGAAATAAGTATTTGATCCCCTTTTGAACGTTTGCTCATTCACAAAGAAATGATCAGTCTAAAAATCGAATGGTAGGTGCATTATACAACTGAGGGACAGAATAGCAACAAAAAATTCAAAAGAAATGCTTGTCTAACAAATGATGACTGATTTGTATGTTCATGAGGGAAATAAGTATCTGGTCCCCTATCATTCAGCAGCATTTCTGGCTACCAGATGTCTTTCATACAGATAACAAGCTGAGATTAGAAGCAGTCTCTTAAAGGGAGTGCTGTTAATCTCATTTTGTTACCTGTATATAAGACACCTGTCCACAGGAGCAATCAAAATCAGATTCCAAACTCTCCACCATGGCAAAGACCAAAGAGCTGCCCAAGGATGTCAGGGACAAGATTGTAGACCTACACAAGGCTGGACTGGGCTACCAACCTATCGCCAAGCAGCTTGGTGAGAAGGTGACAACAGTTGGTGCAATCATTCACAAATGGAAGAAACACAAAACAACTGTCAGTCATAACTGTAAGCAATAATCATCACAATTATGACAAATCACGGCTTGAACTATCTTGCTTGCATGTAATGAGTCTATCTCATATATTAGTTTCAGTTGCATTATTGAAATAAATGAACTTTTGCACGATATTCTAATTTTTCGAGTTTCACCTGTATTTATCAGAGCTATATAACTGTATAATAATAGTGACTGTGGGGGGACATTAGAGTGTAAGCTCCTCTGGCACAGAGACTGATGTGACTGGCTCAGTTTTACTGATGAGATTCCTGATGCGGGTTTTGTCCTCCCTACAGTTGGTGTCGGGGTTGTTCGGCTGTGACGTGTCCTCAGTGGTGGAGTGCCTAAAGCGAAAATCAGAGAATGAGATCTTGTCTGTTGCTGTAAAGATGGTACGTCAAATCCACGTTGGGCATCTTAAAAAGATTTGTTAAAGCTGAACTCCGGGCACAAAAGTTTTCCTCTAAACCAGGGGTCTCCAAACTTTTTAAGCAAAGGGCCAGTTTACTGTCTTTCAGGCTTTAGGAAGGCCAGACTGTGGCCAGTGGGAGTAGAAAATGCCATGGAATCAGTGCCCCATCATTGGTTTTACTGGGAGGAATATTGCCCCGTTGGTAATATCAATAAGAAGTATAGTGCATCATTATTGGTGTCAGTGGGGGGAATATTGCCCAAAGAGCCAGATAAAACCAAGCAAAGTGCCACATCTGGCCCCTGGGCCGCAGTTTGGAGACCACTGCTCAAACTAGGGACACAGCTGATCATGTGATGTGGTAAAAGGCCAATCACAGCGGGTTTTTACCACGTGATCAGCTGTGTCCAATGACAGCATATCACCAGTAAATGCAGTTTGCGGTTATCGGCTGCATTTTCCTCCAGCTGTCACAGAGTGAGAAAAGTACTGCCGATAACCAGCAACTGTCAGATGATCAGTGCCCAGCAGTGCTACCCACCTGTGCCCCCAGCAGTGCCACCCACCTGTGCCCCCATCAGTGCCAGCCATCAGTGCCGCCTATCATTGCCCATCATTGTTGCATATCAGTGCAGCAGCTTCAGTGCCAGCTCATCAGTGCCCATCAGTGCCGCCTATCAGTGCAGCAGCTTCAGTGCCAGCTCATCAGTGCCCATCAGTGCCGCCTATCAGTGCAGCAGCTTCAGTGCCAGCTCATCAGTGCCCATCAGTGCCGCCTATCAGTGCAGCAACTTCAGTGCCAGCTCATCAGTGCCCATCAGTGCCGCCTATCAGTGCAGCAGCTTCAGTGCCAGCTCACCAGTGCCCATCAGTGCCGCCTATCAGTGCCCATCAGTGCCGCCTATCAGTGCAGCAGCTTCAGTGCCAGCTCATCAGTGCCCATCAGTGCCGCCTATCAGTGCAGCAGCTTCAGTGCCAGCTCATCAGTGCCCATCAGTGCCGCCTATCAGTGCCCATCAGTGCCGCCTATCAGTGCAGCAGCTTCAGTGCCAGCTCATCAGTGCCCATCAGTGCTGATCAGTACAGCCTCATCAATGCACATCGGTGAAGGAGAAAAATTACCTGTTTGCTAAATTTTATAATAGAAATTTCAAATTTTTTGCTGTTTTTATGTTTATAGCGCAAAAAATAAAACCCCCAGCGGTGATTAAATACCACCAAAAGAAAGCTCTATTTGTGTGGAAAAAAATGATAATAATTTCATATGGGTACAGTGTTGCATGACCACGCAATTGTCATTCAAAGTGCAACAGCGCTGAATGTTGAAAATTGGCCTGGGCAGGAAGGGGGTAGAAGTGCCCGGTAGGCAAGGGGTTAATTGTAGTATTTATAAACGCAATAAAGCATTTGAATGTGCTTTCATGTTCGCCTTCTGTCACCCCCTACACATCAGCAGGGGGGCAGTGCTACGAGCCAATCAGAGCTCTGCTACATTTATTCACACTGACAGGAGGAGAGAGAAGAGTGAGCATTATATATATAATAATTATCTTTTTTTCTTTCTTCAGGGATTCATGCCATTGCCGGGCTGTGTGGACGGCGTCTTCCTACCCAAACCGGTGGATGAGCTCCTGGCCAATAAGCAGAACCACCGAGTCCCGCTCCTCCTGGGCGTCTGTAACCATGAATTTGGCTGGCTGCTCCCCATGGTAATGTCATCCATATCTCATCATCATCCCAACCTCCCCTACATCCCCCCCAGCAATCATCACTCAGACAGGGATCAGCTATTCCCACTATCACTGTATAATCCATAAAACTCCACCAATTTTTTTTTCCCAGTTTTGAATGGAGTAAAGAGTTAAAACTGATCCTCTGTCTGTGACCCCCTTGGGAAGATTCTCCCCGACTTCCTGTCCTTGTGACACTCATACAAGAAATGGGGGACCAGCTGCCCACTGGAAAGGATAACGCAGACATCGATAAACACATCATTCCAAAGTTCGGACTGTCCCCCTCTCTGCTAAAAAATGTTTTGTCCCTACCACACACCGTAATGGAAAGTGTTGGGGCTTTGCATACACTCCAATGCTCCGAATATTCCAGTCCACACATGATAGGAAATCGTTTCCTGCGTATGGCTGTCGATACCAGAACCCTATCCTGAACCTTGAACCTCGGGGGGTCACTCACTCAGCACTGCCAACATTCACACTTTGCACCAATGTATTTTTCAATGCATACAAGGCGCTCTCTGATTGGACAAGGTGGAGAGGTGGGATGATGATGTCATGATCTCCACTTTGTCCAGTCAGAGAATGCCTTGTATTGATTGAAAAAAAATACATTGGTACAAAGTGTTCTATGAATGGCGAACCCCTGGGGTTACTATGCAGAATTGCAGCTGCCAGGCACAGGATCCAGAAGACTGCTGATATCGCTGACCTCCCTCCCACCCATCCCCCGATATGTCACAGAGGGGGTATTATCATTTTATTATTATCACATGGTACTCCTGTGCCCCCCATCCCCCGATATGTCTCAGGGGGGGTATTATCATTTTATTATCGCATTGTACTCCTGTGCCCCCCCATCCCCCGATATGTCTCAGAGGGGGTATTACCATTCTATTATTATCACATGGTACTCCGTGCCCCCCATCCCCCGATATGTCTCGGGGGGGGGGGTATTACCATTCTATTATTATCACATGGTACTCCTGTGCCCCCCATCCCCCGATATGTCTCGGGGGGGTATTATCATTCTATTATTATCACATGGTACTTGTGCCCCCCATCCCCCGATATGTCTCGGGGGGGTATTATCATTCTATTATTATCACATGGTACTCGTGCCCCCCATCCCCCGATATGTCTCGGGGGGGGGTATTATCATTCTATTATTATCACATGGTACTCGTGCCCCCCCCCATCCCCCGATATGTCTCGGGGGGGTATTATCATTCTATTATTATCACATGGTACTCCTGTGCCCCCCATCCCCCAATATGTCTCGGGGGGGGGGGGGTATTATCATTCTATTATTATCACATGGTACTCGTGCCCCCCTGTGCCCCCGATATGTCTCGGGGGGGGAGTATTATCATTCTGTTATTATCACATGGTGCTCGTGCCCCCCCATCCCCCGATATGTCTCGGGGGGGTATTATCATTCTGTTATTATCACATGGTACTCGTGCCCCCCATCCCCCGATATGTCTCGGGGGGGGTATTACCATTCTATTATTATCACATGGTACTCGTGCCCCCCATCCCCCGATATGTCTCGGGGGGGGGCTCGTGCCCCCCCATCACCCGATATTATCACATGGTTCTCGGGGGGGGTATTATTATTATCACATGGTGGTGCCCCCCCATCCCCCGATATGTCTCGGGGGGGGGGGTATTATCATTCTGTTATTATTACATGGTACTCCTGTGCCCCCATCCCCCGATATGTCTCGGGGGGGGGTATTATCATTCTGTTATTATCACATGGTGCTCGTGCCCCCCCATCCCCCGATATGTCTCGGGGGGGGGGGTATTATCATTCTGTTATTATCACATGGTATCCTGTGCCCCCCATCCCCCGATATGTCTCGGGGGGGGGGTATTATCATTCTGTTATTATCACATGGTGCTCGTGCCCCCCATATCCCCCCCCCTGATATGTCTCAGAGGGGTATCACATGCAGGATTTCTGTGACTTTGTCCTCTGTGTTGCAGTTGGTCCAGGTGTCAGAGATAAGTGAAGGGATGGACAGGGTGTCGGTGTGGAAGGCGCTCAGTAAACTTCCCTTCCTGGTGAGTTCTGATGATGATGAATCATTGATAGATCTGGATCTCTATATAAGTGACATCTCTAGTGTAATACAGGGTGTGACTTCAGACATCACGGGGTTAATGATCAGCAATGTATAACATTTCCTGTATACATCATATGTGTGTTTTATTAGACATTTATACTGATAGATCACTATGGAAACACACAATGCCT